ATATATATATATATATATATATATATATATATATATATATATATATATATTTTATTTATTTATTATTAATTTATTTATTTAAAAAAATAAAAATAAAAAATACTTAAGAAGTCATAAAGCCTATAAGACACCAAAAAATTAAAAAACACCAAAAAACAAAAACTTATGATAACAAAGAAAATGAAAAGGCTTTAAGGGTAAGTTTTGTAATTATTAGCTTATGGCAACAAAGAAAATGAATAAACTTTAAGAGTAGTTTTGTAATTATTTAATCTAATGCAAGTATTATAAAGTTGTGTATTATTAATACCTAAAATTACTTGGTATTAGTAATACACAACTTAAATATTTAATACACAATAGAGTTTATAACAAATGCTCACATTGATTATATGTGACGTGTAAAAGTGTATGGTGTATCAAATAAGATGCTACTAATACACACACCTAATGCATGCATTATATTTTCTAATACACTCTATCAAACGATTCCTTAATTATGATTAAACACATATTTTCGTTTTAATTTTTTAGGTTACTTCTTTTATTAGATATCACAAATAAATAATTACTATCCATTTTGCTGATTTATTTGTCCTTATGGTATAAAATATTTTGTACTATCATGCTATTTCACATGATCACATCAACCTTGAAATCATAACATCAAAAAACAAATGATCACTTGTTAGACAAATTAAATTGCACTAATAATATATGAAATAAATTCATATACTATACATTTCCTATCAAAATTGTGTCAGCCCAATTAGTGGCTGAATTAAAGGAAGTTTAAGAGGTTGTCATGTTGTGTCAATTCAAGTTAAATTTTGTTTTAATATGATTTGAGAGCAACCCTAACAATAACTATTCGTCAAATTTCAAATAAATTGATATCAAATAAATTTTTATTGATCATATTTTTATGTTATAATCATAATAAAAAGTACTTATATGTAAATATATATTAAAAATTCTCCCCATACAAATAATTAAAATATCAAAAAGTAAATTGGTCAATAAAATTTAGAAGAATTAGAAAATAAAATAAAATAAGGCAAATTCAAAATTTAATATTTATATTTAAAGTTTTACTCCTAAAAATCACTCTATTCTAAATTGAAGTTAGTAATTCAATTTGCAATCAACGAATTAACTCCGCACCTACAAGTGATTTGTTTTAGGTAATTTAATTAAATAAGGACGGTATTACTTTATAATTTCTTTTTCAAAAATTCCCTGGTCAGTTATTACTTATATGATATAATTAAGTTAAAGAATATAAAGAAATTAATCATAAATAATAATTACACGAAAGGAACCAAGAGGTTAGCAAGTTGGATAAGTAAGCATTGTGTTTTAAGCCACGTGGCAAGAATTCACGTGAACTCCTTTTTCTCCTATAATTAAAAAAAAACTGGACCCTTCAAAGAAAAAAAAAAGAGTTTAAATTCAATAAAACCCAAAGAGGAAAAAAAAGGTTAAATTGAGTGAAACATTTGCAAAAGGTAGTCTGAAATGAGTTTTCAAGTTTTATGAGTACATAATTTTGCACTATCACATTCTTCAATATAGTATCTCTATATATAAGTTTCTATAAAATATGATATTTGAGATACTAAATTAAAATATCACCTGTTATAATAAATTAAAATAATTTAATGGCAAGAGCATAGAAAAATACCTATGCTGGTTCTTGCTAGACAAACATTATAACAACGAATGATAAAGCGCTTTTTCTGGAAAAACTTGATGAGTCGATCCACCTAATGTCTTGCCTTTACTGTTATATTGGGAGTTACTTCACGTATTAGTCATTCAAGCTAGAAGATTCAAAGTTACATCATATAATTCTTTCTTGACATCTAAAACCAACTGGAGCCAGGGACTTTCTTGACATCTCTGCTATGCATCAATTCCCTCACAGTTCCAACTCCATCCCAGTTCTGCAAACCAGCAAATGTATTGGACAATAACACATAGATTGAAGGATCAACTTTGTCAACTTGTAATGCTCGTTCTGCTGCTCGTTTTGCAGTTTCCATATCCCCATGAAGTCGGGATGCTCCAAGCAACGTTTGCCACACAAGCAAACCTGGTTGAAAGGGCATGCTCGAGATTAGTTCCTCAGCTTCTCTAACGCGTCCAACACGTCCAAGGAGATTCACCATACAAGCATAATGATCTTCTCCAGGGAGAATACCATAGTCATCACTCATTGATGTGAAATACTTCCATCCCTCGTCGATAAGTCCTCCTTGGCTGCAAGCATAAAGCACACATAGGAAGGTAATGTAGTTAGGGTCTGCCCCTTCCTCCCTCATCTGATGGAAAATTTCAAGAGCTTTTTTGGGATATCCGTTTTGCGCATAGCCCATAATCATAGTGGTCCATGAAACAGTAGTGTGTTCATCCATCGACTGAAAAACCATGAATGCCCCATCCATGCAACCACATTTGGCGTACATGTCGAGCAATGCATTATCTACACAGACATCAATGTCATCCCCAAGTTTGATCCTCAAGCCATGAACTTTCTCCCCTTCTCTGAAAGAAGCTGTGTTGGCACATGCACTAAAAGCTGTTGCTAGAGTAAACTTATTAGGCATTACTCCTTCCCTCCTCATTTCTCCAATGACCCTGAGAGCTTCAATTGGCTCGTCACAATTCAAACACCCTGCTGCCATTTGTGTCCAGGAACAAACGTCTTTAAAACAAATCTCTTCGAATGCTTTAAAACCCTCACCCAAACATCGATTTTTCAAATACATATCTACCAAAGCGTTCCCTACACACATCTCACTTCCATGACCAGACTTAACAAGCTGGGAATGTACTTGCACACCCAAATCAAGAACAAAAAGCTCTGCTAACCCAGTAAGAACACTAGCAAAACTGAAGTTGTCCGGTACAACTCCTTTGTGGATCATCCTGTACCAAAGCCTTGGTACATCTGAGCAACAAAATTGCATGCAACCCCCTAGCATTGCATTCCAAGTAACAATATCTTTATTGGAACACCACTCAAAAACCATTAATGCTTCATCTAATCTACCGTGCCTTATCAAAGTTGTCAAAAAAGCATTCACTAAATAAACATTAGACTCAAAACCAAGTCTTGTAATTAGTCCATATACTTGATATGCATTTGTCAAGCTTAATCTATCCTCAAACGAGCAAGCGTGAAGGGCACTCACGAAAGTGAACTCATTAGGCTTTGTTCCACTCCGGTGCATACAACTAAACAACGAAAAAGCTTCAAGAGGGAAGCCGTTTTGCACAAATCCAGCAATGAGGGCAGTCCAAGACACCACATTTCTGTCAGTCATTTCATCAAACAGTTTGAGTCCTTTTGCAGTGTCACCACATTTCACATAAGCATTTAGAAGATGGTTGTGTAAGTATAGCAAAGACGTGCCGCCTGGGTTTTTCAGCAGTTTCGCGTGAATGGCTTTGGCGTTATCCAATCTTGATGTTGCCACACATTGGCGCAGTATATTCAAATATTTAACCTCCTCCTCCTCTTGGTTCTTGTCCCATATGACTGATGCTCTGTAGTTTTTCTTTGTTGTAAATTTAGAAAAAGATGTCTCGTTATGAATACCAATTAGTATTTCAGGTAAAGGTATGAGCTTTTTGAGTTTTGAAGGAATCATATGGATATTTTGTAAAGAAAACAAGATATATATGTAGCTACAATATTCCTCATATATAATACCAACTAAAGTTTTGAATCAGAATAAACTGTTTTCACGCAGAGGGGCCTGAAGAAAAGCTCATCAATTGAGACTATTCATTAAAGCTTTGACATCAGATGATATTATAGAATACAACCTAAGAAAAAGTAATTGTGACTTTCCTGTTTAATATCTGTCTCAGCATCAAATGTACTTGCCATATAATAAAAACTAGTGAAATTAAAGCCTTTCTAAACATGCTCGTCTGAAGGATGGAATAAAAACTGATGGATATTCAGAAAGAACATGTAATCTATCGGTCATGACGTACGTACATTGCTAAACCAAAGGAGAAAAGAGTGACCTTTTTATGCCTAAGCAAGTGGAACTAAGCTCATTGTATATGGAACAACAGTAGCAGAAAAGAAAGGCTTTGGTGCAAGAGCAGAAAGGCTGCAGAGGTGTCGCATCTTCATTGTATCAAACTGATACAAATAGATATCAGCTGCAACCCTCATAAGCAAGATGTTGTTCTTGAAAGCTAGAGTCCCTATCCAAGGATACGCGGAATTATAGTCTCTTGCCAACTTTTCAGCTATCTTGAACAGATACTTGTCGTTTTCTTTTTCCAGCAATTCCAAAGAGATGGTAAAAGTAAGATCCCATTGAGAAGTAAAATGATCCTTCAGCACCCACAGTTGAAGTCCGTGTTCGGATATCAATACGTAATGTAGCTTCCCTTCAGCTTCTCCCATGCACATCTCGGGTGTTAGATTGAACTGGGTGGTGGGGAGTGGCACCATTATCAACCAAGATATCTCATTTTCTGGATCAAACATAAGGATTTCGTCTCCATCAGTAAGCCAATACAGAATCCCAGTTACACAGAC